AAGGTTGTGGAAGACTGTAGTAGGCAATGGAAGGCTGTGGGGGATTGTAGTAGGCAATGGAAGGCTGTGGAAGACTAGTAGGCAATGGAAGGTTGTGGGGGATTGTAGTAGGCAATGGAAGGCTGTGGAAGACTGTAGTAGGCAATGGAAAGGTTGTGGAAGACTGTAGTAGGCAATGGAAGGCTGTGGGGGATTGTAGTAGGCAATGGAAGGCTGTGGGACTGTAGTAGGCAATGGAAGGCTGTGGGGGATTGTAGTAGGCAATGGAAGGTTGTGGGGGATTGTAGTAGGCAATGGAAGGCTGTGGGGGATTGTAGTAGGCAATGGAAGGCTGTGGAAGACTGTAGTAGGCAATGGAAGGCTGTGGGGGATTGTAGTAGGCAATGGAAGGCTGTGGAAGACTGTAGTAGGCAATGAAAGGCTGTGGGGGATTGTAGTAGGCAATGGAAGGCTGTGGAAGACTGTAGTAGGCAATGGAAGGCTGTGGAAGACTGCAGTAGGCAATGGAAGGCTGTGGAAGACTGTAGTAGGCAATGGAAGGCTGTGGGGGATTGTAGTAGGCAATGGAAGGCTGTGGAAGACTGTAGTAGGCAATGGAAGGCTGTGGAAGACTGCAGTAGGCAATGGAAGGCTGTGGAAGACTGTAGTAGGCAATGGAAGGCTGTGGGGGATTGTAGTAGGCAATGGAAGGCTGTGGAAGACTGTAGTAGGCAATGGAAGGCTGTGGGGGATTGTAGTAGGCAATGGAAGGCTTTGGGGGACTTTAACTGTAAAGGTGAGGAAAGTTGTAGAATACTTGTTGCAGAAAGTTTGTGGGAGGTTAAGAAAAGATATGTGGACTGTGGCAAGCTATTGTGGCATGCTAGGATGGATATTTGACAGATGAAATACAATCACTTCTATATGGCAATTACATAATATAGTTATGAAGAAAATTATAGCCATGAACAAACGTTATTATCTAAACTAACGAGAAGAATTAATTACCTGTGACTGAAGTAAATTGGACTTAGTTAATGATGTAGATGTCTTTGTAGTTGCATCTGAAAATACACAAATAATCATACATATGTAAATAAAGCACATTTAATTTAACAGCAAAATCAGCATTGATATTACAGTTAAAAGTAGTTTAAACCAGCTTAAAGTAAAGAGTAACTTGAAGGAATTAACAAAATCAACAACTGCCATGGATAGAATCAAAATCAACAACTGCCATGGATAGAATCAAAATCAACAACTGCCATTAATAGAATCAAAATCAACAACTGCCATGAATAGAATCAAAATCAACAACTGCCATGGATAGAATCAAAATCAACAACTGCCATGAATAGAATCAAAATCAACAACTGCTATGGATAGAATCAAAATCAACAACTGCCATGGATAGAATCAAAATCAACAACTGCCATGGATAGAATCAAAATCAACAACTGCCATGGATAGAATCAAAATCAACAACTGCCATGGATAGAATCAAAATCAACAACTGCCATGGATAGAATCAAAATCAACAACTGCCATGGATAGAATCAAAATCAACAACTGCCATGAATAGAATTAAAATCAACAACTGCCATGGATAGAATCAAAATCAATAACTGATAGTAACTGAAATCTGATGAGTGGATCTTGAGATATCAATATTGACAGCTATATAAATATGTAAATTAAGTGATTATTATCGCACATATTTCAACATCAAACTTATCAAGTAAATGCACATAATTCAATGCTTTAATGAATACCTTCTAGTTCTTGTAAATGATTCACGTTATTTGTTTCAGTATCCACAAAGGGTGTTGGTGACAAATGGCCCAGTTCACTGTTCATACAGGGAGATTGAGACAATCGTTCCATTTCACTGTCTATACATGGCAATGGAGACAGTCGTTCCATTTTACTGGTTACCTGAGAATTCCAAACCTATGTAAAGAGAATGTATGTTTCAACTAACATGATATACAAGGTGATGAAGGACCCAAATACTGATCAAATGTAATAGAGCTACATCACCTTATGGCAAAGTGACATTAAATTATGTAATAACAATAATATTAGCTGCTGATTCTAATGAAGTTATTAATGATATTGAGCTAGGGCCAGTATTCATTTTTACTCTCACTTATTTCACCAATATTAAATAGGGTATAAAAACATTGATTTAATGACAACATACAATGCAATACTTAATACACAGATTCCTGGCATGAAAAAAGCAGGGTATGAGATGAAGAATGAACAAAATGTACTGTAAATAAAAAACATATTATAGAAGTTGTACTTCTGTCACAGGATTTATATGATAGAACTACTTTTTAAAAGTGGAACAAAAAATTTTCACTGGAGCAGCGATATTGAAATTTAATATTTATAATTTAATTTAATATTTGAGTTTGTCAGCTAAATACTAACGGATTCTACCGTAAATTCACTGGCATCTACAATTTAAGTTTTACCAAAGTCATTGACGCCTATTCAAGAGCATGATAACATTAACATATGAGCTATGGTAATTTGAACACATTGGCATCACCCATCATTTTGATTGATTAATTATCAGGTCAAAGAACACCATCCCAGGTCAACTCATAAAATTGCGGATATCCTACAGTATCAAGCGTTTATATGCAATCGGAATCATTCGCTTACGATGAAACTAAGTTGAATTTTATTTTTGCAAAACAATGTTACACCTATTCAAAACATGTATAAGACCAATACTATTATATGGATCAGATGTATGGGGCTTCGAAATTCAAGAAAATAATAAATGGGACATTACACCAATTGAGAAAACCCATCTGAAATTTAGTAAAAGAATGCTTGGATTGAATAAATTTTCATCAAATCTAGCTTGTAGAGCAGAAATAGGTGAACTACCATTACTAGTAGACATCAAAATAAATCTTATAAAGTATTTGGCACAGATCAAAGAACTTCCAGAATGTAATTTAACAAAACAGGCATACCATGAACAGATAAACTGCAGACTCCCATGGATTATGTCAATTTACAAAGAGTTAAATAAGGAAGATAACACATTAGATATAAAGAATATCAATGACAAATTGAATGCAACAAAACAAAATATAAAGAGAATAGGAAACAATATTAAACAAAAATATATTGAATTCTGGAAGGAGACAATTATGGATAAACCTAAGTTGAGAACATATACTCAATTCAAAACAAACTACAACTTTGAAAGTTACTTAATTTTACTGAATCTAAAACATAGAATTTCTGTCTCTAGATTCCGAACAAGTAATCACAGCCTAGCAATAGAAAAGGGTAGACATACCCAACCTAAAATTTCTTTGGAAAACAGGATTTGTAAACAATGTACTTTAGCAAACATAGAAGATGAAATGCATCTCCTCATCAAATGCCCAAAATATCACACACTGCGAATGGATATATTCTCAAATATACAGTTTCCTGATGAAACAAAAACTGACCAACAGAAATTTACATACTTAATGAAAAATTCTAACACAAATGTAATCAAACTTGTTGGAGAATTTATACACAGCTCGTTCTTAATGAGAAACGAGAAAGATACTTAACAAAAACACTAAAATCTATCATTTATTATTTGCTATAGTTATTTTGTTTTTTAATATCTTACTTTTGTTGCTATAAACTGATGGAAACACTGTATTTCTAAGGATGCAATAAATTATCTTTATTATTATTATTATTATTTGCATTTCATAACAATTCAACAAATTATTTTCTGTGCGTTATTATAATCACTTCTGAGTAATAATCAACAACTGTGAAATGCAGCATGACCGGATTGCGCTACCGTGATCATTTGCTACTAGCTGCAATGCAGTTGTGTTTGCTTTTATTTGAAACTTTGTTTAGAATATAGTTTTGTTACCAATAAACTTAAAAAAAATAATTGTATTTGGCGTACCAGGTTCGTTAATGTGAGTTTTTTTTTTCAAGAAAGATGACACTGGGTGACATTGTAATGAAATTTTAGGCAAGAAAAAATTGTAATAAAATTTTTAGCAAGAAAAAATGTATCAAATTTTAGATTAGTTTCTTTCGTCTTGGGTGGTCAAACTGCCAGCGTAGGTGAAAATCAGCGCAAGTCAAAAAAAAAAATATTTGATGATCATTTTTTGAAATTTTGAACCCCAAATAAGGGCACCCACCAGTCATGAAATCGTCCAGGGCGATTTTTTGGATGGGCCAATTTATAGCAGAATTCGGTACATGTGACCCAGTTATGGATATATATATCTGATATGATGTAAAAGTTCATCCACCTTGTTTGGGGGTTACAGATACAGACATGAATTATCTATTCAATGCAATCATAATTAGACTATAAATAGAACATTATGAAAGTATTGATTATCTATGATATACTTATGATAACTGAAATAACTTCAAACTTTATTAATATTAAATTGTTTAATTGCATCATTATATACCGTTCTATCTAGGTCAACGAACTATTAACCTTACAGAACCATCATCACTTCTATGTACACTTATAAATGAACTTGTTTATAACAAAAATAATGATGGGAATTGAGGAAAGATTTGAGACCCCACCCCAAAACCACTATTTTACCACTCACCTGTGGATTCGAGTCAGTCATAACTTTGATGTGTATTTTTCCTGGAAGTAACGCTCCATAGATTCTCTGGGCTTCATCTAATGTTACATTAACAAGGCTATGGCCATTCACACTCAATATCTGATCACCACACCTAAATGGAAAAACAATGGATCATATGTCTTGTTCATGTATACAGCTGAGCTGACAATGAAGTGTGTTGCCCAGCATTGACTACAACATCGATGTTATCATGTCTAGTGATTTATCCAGGGTGAGTTCATAACCATGGTTATAAGTGTCTTACATTCTTCATGAATCAAATAATATCTATGTTGTTATTGATTTACAAGCAGACACACAAATAGATATTTTGTAAGGTAAGTTTGATTAAAGACAGCCAATATACATGCATAGGCAACTATAAAATAAGAACCTATAGAAATTTCAAATACGACACTAAACAAAAAAAGATGTGTTTACCCTATGCTCAGTTATTATCTCCCAACATATATGCTAATTTTACATCCTCAATCAAATACCATCACTTGCTGTTTATACCCTTTAATTCACAAATCCTGTTTTCAGCTAGAGTTTTCAGTTTTGTGTTGTTCATGTAATTTCTATCAATGTTTTCTAGTTTGGTTAGGTATATCTTTCTAGTTTAATGTCATATTTGAAATTTCTGTAGGTTCTTAATTTATTTTTGCTGGCTGAATATTTTGTGCTTTTATTGTACCGGTAGTCAGCTATTTAAATTTTCCAGTATTGTGAAATGTTTTTTTAGATTGTTATTTATCTATCTTATCTGTGCACCTGTAAAAGTTGTAATAGTTTTTAGAATGTGAGTTTTGTTGGTGTTTGTTTGTTGTGATTCCACAACTATCAGACATAGTATTTCTCAACCGTAAACACTAATTGCTATCACTGTTCAACATCAACATCATCACGGATGATTAGAAAGCCAGATATGACATAAATAGCTTCAGTAGTTACATGAACTTTGACCTCAAACTATATTCTAGACGTATTTGGTTTTAGGTAATATATAATGGTGGACGATTTATAGCCTAGTTACCAACCATTCTGTACTTCAATTAAAAAATGATTTATTTTTCAATGACACAGGTTCTCAACAAATCATTTTTCTGCTCTTTATTATGATAAGAAAGTTTTTTTTCAATTACCATTAGTTTTTAAAATTAATTTGTAATGCCAAACTGAAAAAAATAATCGTGGTAATTACAACATAGAATACGATTGACCAATCGATTGATAAACATAAAATAATAGACAGTTCAAAGGTCAAAATACAGCCTGAATGCCGTGATTTGTTGAAGTAAATTACTGAATACAGACACGGGTGAAGGAACTATAGCGTTTCTAACTATTAAATAAGCATGGCATATAGCATTGTCCTTATCACCCTGGACAACCAGAAGTATGCCTGGCATTCCAGTTACATTGTTGATATGCTATTATATTGCAGCAAATTCTCATTTACTTTCCTGTTCTCTTCAATGTGAAGTTCTTTTTACAAGATTATTTAAAAAATAAATCATTTCAAAATTGACTGCTTTTGTAAAATATTTATGAAGCTAAATGTAGCTCAGAATTTTACTACTGGACTAGCTTAACTTTGCCAACATACTTCAAGGCATGTTAAAAGAAATCTGATATTACAGTGAATTCTTTTGACAATAGTGAGTCAAGTACAACATAGAATTGTGGGATACAATATACAGATACATGGCTCTGGTAACAGGCATTACATTAGCTGAGCAATATTCTGTTACAAAACGGTCAAAAACAACACATTGGTTCAAACCAATGTCCTTAAAAATCTATGTCAAAATATACTTTTAGAAAGACTATAAAAAACAATCTGGTTCATGAGTAATACCTAACTACTCTTCCACTAATTGTTCTTAGTACTATAATTATCAAATGCATTACTTTTCTTTATTTCTTATTAATCTATAATTATAAAATTGTAATAATAATTGTAATTTGTGGGTTTTGACAAGACTAGCAAATTTAGTTACTCTAATTCCCATTTACTCATTTTTTTTATTGTGGTGTGAATTAATGTATAAGCCTGAGATTGAAGAATGAAGTTATTATTATAATTGTAACTTACCTCAAGTTTCCATCCAGCGCAGCTGGAGATTTGTCAGATAAATGTTGTATAAATATCCCTTTTTGGTTTTTTGGAAGATCAAGGCACACCACCCCAATTCCCAGACTGACACCATGCTCTATAATTATGAAAAGAACAATTAATGCTATAAACATGATGTAAGGCTTGTCAGGAGTGAGCTTTGGGTGTGCCCGGTAAAAGTTTCAATAAATCAACTTCCAATTGGGTGGACGAGAAGAGGGCATGTCAGTTTGCATATGTGTTCATTTGCAACAAAAAGGCAAGGCTTACCAGTATCAGTACTGAAAAATGGTACATATATGTGTTGAATAAAGAAGTAAAAAGAAAACATAATTTTGTAATGTAATGTTAATTTTAACACATTTTCACTAGATTATATATATTCAGCACACTTGTAATTCAGTTGCAAAGGCTAATATAAGAGATTGTAAAACACCATAGTGAAGATCGAGTATATAATTCACCTAGATTATAGACACCGCCCCCTTTCATGCACCGAAAAATACAAAATAAAACATTTGAATAAAAATATTTGACATACTGGTGATAGGGTGGCAGTTTGACAGTTGTTAATTTCCACAACTGTCACCATATAGTTTTGTCCACAGGGTAGAAGATACTTAATGTTTTCAATTGGTATTGTGAAATCCATAAGGAAAGTTAACAACTAATATCCATAGAGACTGAGTATACCTTGGGGATTTGTTGTCGCACTTCAAACACTCACTAACTCACATGGAAGGGATCTTCACACATTTAAAGAACACAATTGGATTCTTTAGACTGAATGAAGCTACTGTTTATTTTAGCCACTTTCATGAAGGAATGAATCAGCGAAAATAAAATCTAGCGATAATACCATTAATTAATTCCAGCTAAAATAAAGTACCGGTATTCTACATTATTCAGGTAGTTTTAAATTCTCTGTGAAATGACTTTTCAATATATATGCATATCTACAGTATTTAAAATAAGCTGGGATTTGAATGTTTATGTAAACAGAATTGAGTAAAAAAGTTTGTAGAAAATCAGCAAAAAATATATTCAAAAAGAAAATAATGAAATATAACATAATATTACCATCAATCAAATATATGTCTCAAAGTTTTGTAATGAACCGAAAACAAATAAAAAGAGAATAAATCTCACAAATGTATTCTTGTCAATTGTAACTGTGTATGATAGCCATACATTGTAACACTATGAATGGAGAGATTGAGAGCAAGTACACAAGTGTCTTGTCAACTATAGTTGGATATCAAATAACTTTGTCAATGGTGACATTGAGAGTGAGTAAACACAGAAATATATACATAGTAATAAGCACAAATAACAAACAATAATTAGCGTGAGAAATGATTTCATGAAAATATCAAAGTCCATACATGGTGACATTATCATAGGTGTTTACACAGTTAGCATTGAAGCTCATATCACAAAATGCATACCTATACACTGACTATACAGAAACCCCAATGCAGCCCATGAAACTTACAAATGTGTAATTTACCAATTATGAAATGTTACTATTGAGGGCAATGACCTTCATACTGATACGAAGACTGGTGTATAAAGTTCTTACCTTTAACAAGATGGACGTGTTTTTCTGTCTCTCTTACTGAGATATCTTGACTGTGACTAGTTCCTGTTACTACATGTTGCTGTTCAGACATGTCCCTATTTATTGGCTCCTTTGTTGACCTATGACATTCATATGCAAATTAGGCAGATTGTTATTTACTGCATGGAGTTCAGTGAATCCAGTTACTGGATGTGATCCAAAACTTGCATTGACTCAATCTAATATCAAAATAGCACATGCATATGAAGAAAGCTGACACAGGATAATGTTTGGTATCATTCATTCATAGACTTTTGTACCAAGGTATTTTTTAATGACTACTTTTGACAATTTTTGTGACAGTCCATGACATGATATATACTGTAAATCACTTATCCTTTAAAGAGACACATTTTATTAAATTTTGAAAAAAATCAAAATCGTGAATTTTTCTAGCTGTAAAAATAACTTTTTGAGTCCTAAGACATGAAGTGAAGGTTACTTTGACTTAACAAATACCATAGAATACTGAAATCATGAAAATTTCTATCAAAAAAAAATAAATAGTTTACAGTGACCTTTAAACAACAAAATAAGTTATCCACAATTTAAATCATAACACTTATATAACAAATCTTATCCAACATGTGTAACATATGGAAGTAAAATATAACTTGATTCTTTGACATGAATACATGATGGTGAATACAAATAGAAACCTAGCACTAGAAATCCTATTACAGTGGATGACATACAATACTTCACTTGTACTTGTATGCAACTATTTTAGTACACCAATAAGAATTTTAGAACTACCAGGTTATACGTGTGGTAAGAATTAGGACAGATTGGTTTCACATTTTCAAATTTAAAATCACAACCATCTTATGCTATAAAAATTAACATATTAAGTATGCTTGGAAATTTGTTCTAAAATTTGCTATCATAAATTAGTAACCACTTCAGATGTTATTTAATGTAGTCCATGAAACTAAATGCTTAAATGGTTAAAATTTTGGATATTATTTGAAATATTTTTCTTATAAAAACATGTAACAAGTAAATTTTGCAGCTTAGCCTGATAAATAATTATAAATCATTTCTGACATTAATTTGCATCATACATCCTCCATTTTGTGAATACTCAAAAATAACATTTACACAATTTTATACTGAACAGTGCAGATAAAGGTAGAATCAATTTAACAATCAAAGAAAGCTTAGAAAGAACTCCCGTGTGCTGAGAGTTTTGGAGACACATTAAAAATTAATTCAAAATTACTTATACTTGAGATATTGATGGAATAGCTGAAAACTAATTATGCAAATAAGGTAACTAATATGAACAGATTTAGGTGTAAAACTAATAAGGTCTGCACAATGTACCAAGTTTCATTGGAATATGATTAGAACCAAAAAAAATATTAATTATTATGCTAATTAGAGAATTAATATGAACAGATTTTAACCCAAAATTAATCAGGCTGTCTATTGTCCTAGACCATTTATGTACCAAGTTTTATTCAAATGTGATGATCAATACTTGAGATATTAGTATTAATTAATTATGTTAATTAGGTGATTAAGAAGCATAAATATTTACCAAAAACTAATATGGTGCATAGTCTTAGGTTCATTGAAATGTGATGGGTACTCTTTTAAAAGTTTCGTTGAAATCCAATGAGTGGTTTTTAGACATCAGTGCAACAGCCATAGAACAGCAAAAAATTAACTAATTATGCAAATTAGGTAATTAATAGGCAA